TGTGTTTCATTTTGATTTATTTTAATTAATTGTGTTTTATTTTGATTTATTTTAATTAATTGTATTTTATTTTAATTTACTTTAATTCCTTCTGTTTTATTTTAATTTATTTTAATTAACTTTGTTATATTTTCATTTATTTTAATTACCTGTGTTTCATTTTAATTTATTTTAATTAATTGTATTTTACTTTGATATATTCTAATTAATTGTGTTTTATTTTCATTTATATTAATTAACTGTGTTCTACTTTGATTTATTGTACTCTCAGGTAGACTCAAGAAAGAAGTCAACCGCCGTGGGATTTACGTATCGTTGGTATAAGAATATTTAGATATCTAAGTTAGTTGTAAGATATTGCGAAAGGTGGATAGATGGAAATTGTGTCAATACGTTTATTATTCATCGAACAGAAGAATTTGCGATCATTGTTCCTTCGGTAATTGGTACCATATTTGTGTAAAAAGACCATTGACTATGTATCTATTGCGCAATCGACAAATTTTTGCTTTTTCATTTGCGAATATGAAAAATTGGAAGCAATTTTTTAAGATATAAGTTGTTGAGAAACACGAATATTCAATTCACAGTCTGAAGAACGTAGAATAGTACTTAGGACGTACTACTGGGTAATAGTTCAGCGGTGTAAATGCGATCGAACTCTGTTGCAATTAGGGTTGCCGCTCCATAAGGGGCTGCGCGGTAATACAGGCATAAATAATTTTACTAATTCTGAGGTTCCGCACCATGGGGTCCATGCAATAAGTCCTGAGGAACAATCTGAGACTAACGACGTTCATTTTAAGCGCTTAATTACTGAGATATTCGCATTTTTCCATCACTAGGAATTCTCACTCACCTGTCGGTATAATTTGGCTAGCAGTTTGAGCGAATTGCCACGGGTGGCGCCACCGATCGAAAAAATAGTGTTATTCCGCGTTTAAATGCTATTTCAACAGTGTTCCGGTCGTTTATTGTTATTGTCAATGGCCGGGGATTAATCTACGTTCTTTCAGCTACAAATCGAGTGCTTTATCTAGACGAAAGCTATCCGTATAACGCTATAACAGCTGTCCGAAGTGAGCTAAACGGGTTATCACTGACGGCGGCGGCTCCTTTCGACGGGTCACAATATCACGATCGATTGTTTCGGCGATGTTCGGTAAGTCGTGTGATTGATCGTTGGGTGAGAGTGGGTTTCTTCCCCACTGCAGTATCTATTTCCACGAAATAGAATACAATATTTTGAATATTCTTCACCCTCCATTATATTTGTGCTGTTTGTTTTCAACGTTCCACCGGACGCGCTGTTGTGTCGGGTATAACAACCTGTGTATTTTATTCGGTCAATCGTGTGTCAGAAGGTTGGCGCGACAGATTCAAGAATAAATACATTGATTCATATTTTACTGAATTGACGTACTTATTGTTTCCCACAAATTTGAGTGTGAAATGTGGGAATGAACAGATTTTGTTTTGGAACTTGAAACTTTCTCTCACCTGCTTCATACATACGTATACGTATATACATACATTCTTTCATATCTATATATTGATTTTATTATTTTGTCATAACAACGTTATTCAATTTATAAATATTAATATATGTAAATGTAAATAATCGTACATTCTATTCTTTAAAAGCATCGACGCGGTACAAGAATAGACTTTCCATCTTGTGGGAGTTGATGGCCCACCAAAACTGTAGTACCGATACCTTAAAAGCTGCGATTTTAGCGCCCTCTACGTTGCGAGAACGGTGAATCTGCGGTGGGTAGTGATACTAAAATGGAAATGGAGTACGTAACCCCAGAAAAGTGGGCCGCAAAAATGCATTGGATGAAATGTCTACTCCTATACCTCGTCTGTGACCGAACCAACAAATTTGTGAGAAAAAATATCCGTGCTCGCCTAGGCCGGACCATGCACGCCCTCCGAACTGTGTGACGCTTATTGGTACTAATCCGTGGTGACGTCTCGTACGCTCGAGGAATGTAAAGGATCCTTCGGATGTACGTAATATCGATGAAATGTAAAAAAACAAAATAATACAAATAATACGTACATGTATGTGGAGCATATTTCGACATACCTATTACTTCAATTTGTCAAAATTATTACGTAAATAAATTATTTGTTTGTTATTACATTGTTCTTTCACATTTCATCCATATTGCATACACCTGAAAGGTCCTTTACATTTCTCAAGGTGTGACATCACCACAGTTACTTACATATGTATATATACATATGTAAATATACACATTTCGTCCGTTTATATAGGCAAATTCGTCGGGTGAAATGCATTGTTTTCGTTGCAGTCGAAAAACTTAAAAGAAAAGCCGCGCTCTCGTATACCACACAGATTCATTTACAAACTATTAGACGTTAAATAGTTTTATATACATATGTAGGTTACACAAAGTGTGGAATGATGCATTAATTTAATCTGTTTGATTAACTGATGGAATTATATCGATTGTTTGTAACACGTAATTTCGAAGATTTTCATTTCATTGTTAATACGTGTCAACTCTTTTTCATTCTTCACCCATTCTGATCGGTCGATAAAACAAAGATTAATCACATTCACTATTTTCTACGATCACACGTTATTTTCTTATACAGTAATAAAAGTTTCAATGCGATGGAATAAACTTTTACATTCTTAAAGAATATTCGAGTCCTAGACACGTATTTAAATACCTAATTGGTAAAGTCAGCGGTGCAAGCGGAACATCGTAAATCCGAATACCTACAAGAACCATTAGAACACACGGATATAACCTCCTATTTGAAAGCGTAAGTACATTGTAAGTACATACATAGTGATGCAGCGTCGCGTGAAACATTTGGAATCGAGCTTTAACGTAGATACACCGAACCCACCGAACCTCTCGCTATGGCTGACGAAATCAGAGAGAGACTGTTGGAACAGGTGAAGGATCAAGGGGAACTTGTGCGAAAATTAAAATCTGCGAAAGCCAGCAATATTGAGGTACAAAAAACGATTATTTTCACGCTTTAAAATTGTGGATTTTTTTTTCTTGAAATTTTCATTGCGAGCAAAAACGTGGTGATTTCTAGTAACGCCAATACTCACCACCATGTGCGAATTTATAAAAATACGATGTGTTAAAGTTTATAACTTTATTGAGTAGTTGCGATCGACTATTGTTCGTATGGTCCAGTATTTTGCCACCAACATTTAAATTTTTTTCATCTACGTATTCTTTCGAGAGACTAAATCCGCCGATTCTTTTGGCACAGTCAGGGACAAGAAGATACCACACTTAAAGAGTAACATAATTTATATTTATTAAGCAATGCAAATTAAATTCATTACATATACTTCTTTCAGGTTGTCTAGTGATACACACACACACACACACACACACACACACACACACACACACACACACACACATATATATAAAAGAAATGAACTTAAATTGTAACAGTAGATTTAGAATTGTTTAAAAAATGAAGCTGAACGAATAGCAGCAGATGTATGTACGTCACAAGAATTGTTGGAAACTATGTAGTCAATACGAATAATACTGTAGTCAAGATTGCAAAAGTGGTAAAGGAGTGCATTTCTACTGAAAAAAAATCAACTTTTTGACCAGCCGATATAATATTTTGATCTTATGATTAGCAAGAATTGCTAGGGAATTCTTGTCGGAGCAGTATATTGAAATAACAGATAGTTTGAACCTGTGTTGATGAATTAAAACAATGTATTGGACGCTAGTAGGAACAACTAAAACGAGAAAACATTTAAAAATCACTGAAATGTTTCTCGACAAGATTGATTACAATAAGGATTAAATTGTAAAGTAGGTTTCGCAAAGTGTTAAACACAGAATAACATTAATTTAAGTCGTGTATAATTTGCAATTTTTCGACAAATGTGTTATTACGTTTGTTCCCTTGAATTTCTTTAATATTCTTAATTTTAACATAAAACTTAAGTCTGTTGTTAAAATTTAAGTTTGTTTCATTTATATCTGAAATCTAAAGAAATGTATATATACAGAACTTCGTTCGCATCGCTTTATAAATAGAAATCAAGTGATTCTTAAGGTATGTAGTACCTTTTTGTCCCTGATTGTAGGACGAATAGGGTCTTTGATGTTTTACGTGCTTCTAAATTTAAGGAAGCTCACACTGTCGCATCGTTTTCCATCCTTCAGGGTTTAACGAATTCGTGCAATATAGAGACACAGTTAGAAGATATAAACCATGAGTTTACCGACGTCAGTTATGTTTGTGGCTGGATACCTACCATCAAAGATATTGTATTATTCAACCTCTGTGTCGCATTCGATGTACAAGTTTCTAAATGGCCAAATTTGAAAAGATGGTTTATGCATATACAAAGCTTCGATGAAGCTGAACGTTCCGCGTTCCCTCGACCGGAAGGATCACCTACATTCTTGACAAAGAAAGTCGATTGTATAAGCAATCTTTGCTTCTTTGATCAGAACTCGATCGATCGAAAGGTGAGGTTGCTCTTTGTTCGTGAGCAGGGACGCTATAAATTATGGACTTGTCAAGATTGTACTAATTGATCGTTTTGTCCGTTTGTACGTATATGAAATTGTTGAATTTAAGACACTAAATTTCATAAAAACTGGTCAATGAGTAATGTAATTTATAGCGTTCACTTACCTGCTCGTTCATATGGTATCGTTTGTTCTTTCGGCTAGTTTAATAATCAACACTGAGGTGGACTTTTCTTCTTCCGGTTCTTAAAATATGACTGTGTCTTTTGGGATGTTATATCTTACGCGGACCAATATCATCTTGGCTACACGAAAATGTTACCACGACGCCGGTTCGATCGTGGGGTTTAAGGTACGCTAAAGTAGTACAAGCATTCTCTCGAATTAATCGTATGAGGCACTATGAGGAAGGATTTCATAGAATCTCGTTTATTTGTACTTGCGAGTCGAAATGTACTTGCCAAGTACAATTTACCTCTGACCTCACCTTGTCTTTCACAGATAGCGGATGAAGTTACCAAATTGTTGGAACTAAAAGCTCAGTTGGGAGAAAAGAATGATAGCTCCAAGCTTATTCTTAAAACGCCTAAAGGCACCAGAGATTATGGACCGGAACAAATGGCTATACGTCTCGGAGTTATAGATAAAATAATTACTATCTTCAAAAGACACGGAGCACAGACTATAGACACACCTGTGTTTGAATTAAAGGTATCTGTACAAACTGTTTATGAATGGGATGTGATTTTTTGATGCGACATAGATTTGCCATTTAAATTAAAAACGAATATACTTCGCTTCGATTCCAGGATGTTCTGACCGGAAAGTATGGGGAGGACTCGAAACTCATCTATGATTTGAAAGATCAAGGTGGAGAGATTTTGGCCCTCAGATACGATTTAACGGTACCTTTTGCCAGGTATCTGGCAATGGGGAAGATCGCGTCCATGAAGAGGTATCACATCGCTAAAGTTTACCGAAGGGACAATCCAGCCACAACAAAGGGTAGATACAGAGAATTTTATCAATGTGTGAGTAAACGCGAACGATTATAACCGATATACATATGTATATGTATTGCTGGTGATTTCTTAGAAAGCCTTTTTGGATGTTCCCCTTGATTGTCGATTTGTTTTGTTAAAGGATTTCGATATAGCCGGTCAGTACGATCCTATGATGCCTGACGCGGAATGCATCCGTATTATCTCTGAAGCTTTACGATCGTTGGACGTAGGACTTTATGTAGTCAAATTGAATCATCGATCGTTGCTGGACGGTATATTGGCAGTTTGTGGGGTTCCGCAAGAGACATTTCGTGGTGTTTGCTCCTCGATAGACAAACTCGATAAAAGTCCCTGGTCGGAAGTCAGAAAAGAAATAGTCGAAGAGAAAGGATTAGACGAATCGACCGCTAACAAAATTGGAACGTATGTGTCGCGATCCGGCGGAGTGGAACTTATCGGTGAATTAAGAAAAGACAACGAATTAATGAAACACGAGTCTGCGGTAAAAGGTCTAGAATCAATGGAACTGTTGTTCGAATATTGCAACATTTTCCAAGTAACGGATAAGGTAAAGTTTGATCTCAGCCTAGCCAGAGGACTCGATTACTATACGGGTGTAATTTTTGAAGCTGTACTAATCGGTAAGTACGCTTCTCCAATCGAGACGACGTAATCGGATTATTATCCTGGAGACGATACATACTTTAACAAAAAAATGGTTTCGTTTCTGTTTCTTCTTAGGTGACGATGTTGGTGTTGGAAGCGTCGCAGGTGGTGGCCGTTACGATAATTTGGTAGGAATGTTCGATAGTAAGAAAAAATCGGTACCATGTGTCGGTCTGTCGTTGGGAATTGAACGCATTTTCAGCGTCATGGAAGCGAAATTAAGCCGGGAAGGATTGAAAACACGTAGAATGGAAGTCGAAGTGTTTGTGGCGAGTGCGCAAAAGAATTTACACGAAGAAAGAATGAAAATTTTATCCGATCTCTGGGAAGCTGGACTAAAAGCGGAACACTCTTATAAAAAAAATATAAAATTACTTGCGCAGTTACAATACTGCGAAGAGAATGGTATACCGTTGGCTATCATAATCGGTGAAGGGGAACTAGCCAGAGGCGAAGTGACGTTGAGGGAAGTCGTGTCTCGAGCACAGATTCCAATCTCCCGAGCAAACTTAATCGAAGAAGTAAGAAAAAGGCTAGGAAATTCATGAATTACTACAAAAATTTAATATATTTCCGTGTGCACGAATCTAATTTTATACCAAACAGTAATTTGTACGTTCGATACCTTCCTCGATCACGCACAGAGATAGATACAGACCGAAGGCGATTTGTGTTTCTGTGTAAAGTGAATTGTATGTAATTTATTGTATCGAATGATCGAATAAAATTCATATCGTTTCAGAGACTATACCGCCGAGAGACAGGCAGACACACAGACACAGAGAAAAATCCCTTTGTGAACGATATTGCGTTCGTGATCGTGCGGCGCACGGATATCACCGAGGATCCGTTTTTTTGCTTTCACTTTCTCCCGTTATTCATTCGTAACGACAGAAGTGTTGGCTTTTTTATTTCGATCGCGGTTGGATTTTACTTTTTCGCTTTTCATTTTTTCTCCCTCTTGTGAGAAGTTAGCAACGTGCACAAAGATATGTTGTTGGGAAACAATGACTTTCGAGGGAAAATGAAACATGAATGGCATTGTGATTTAAATGTAGTGTGAAACATTTGCGGCATTTAAAGAGAACGAACAGCAACGAAAACGTTATAAGCGTATGAATGCCAAGCGTTGTTATACGCTACAGGTTACTCGTACTCACTGTTACCGGGTGATTGTATAGTGAAAAATACATGTATGCATATCGCGAAGCACCGTACACTCGTATGGGAATACAGTATGTACATATCTATGTACAATATGTATGCATCTGTATCTAATCGTTTGTGTCATCATCGTTGCGTGTCACGATTTACCCGAACGAGAATTTGCCTGGTGATTTTCTACTTTTAGTTCCGCAAGGTGGAGAATATCATTCGGGGAGATGTTGATCATAGTGTTTGCGGAGGAACTCTGAATGGAACTCGCGATAGGATTTTCTATCTTTACTTCCACCAATGAATGCTGTGATGCTGCGTCAGCAGTAACAAACGACTTATATTCGTGATTCTTATTAATCGATCGGTTATCCGAGACCGATGGTTGACGCTCGGTAGCATTTCGAAAACTCGCGAACGAGGTGGATTTCATGGGAACGACGTGATGATCGCGTACCATTTCCGTTCTCCTTAATTGCGGACAAATCGTGAATTCGTTTGTACGTTCGATTGCATCATTTCCAATTGTGCTTCGATCAATTGATTTCAATCGAGTGCTCGTAGAAATCGTTGGTTCTCGGGGAAATGACGTATACCGTTCGTTTTTCGAATTGGCCGAAGATACCAGTCTATTAAAATGCTCGTCGGCGGATTTGTTGATGGGATCCTTTCCATCGAGTGGGTTGTCTCGCGGAAACTCGTTTCTACGAACGGTTTCGGGATTCTTTCTTCTACAAGTATACGACGACGATCCAAACGGTTCGGCATTTTCTTTAAGTTCATCCACGTGAACGTCGCTTAGACTGAAGGCCCTGACACGGCGTCGAAGATTCATTTGACCGATTTGTCGTTGCAGCATGCCAGCCTTCCAACGGGGTAAAGGTTTGAATGTAGGAACAGCCGTCGTTGTCGTCGTCGTCGTCGTCGTCGTCGTCGTCGTCGTCGTCGTCGTCGTCGTAGCTTCTTCTGTTGATATTCCGGCGATCTGAATTTGAGCAGCAGGACGCAAGGAGAAACGTCGACTGTTGCTGTGTGACGAGGATATCATTGGTGATGAAAAACCTGGCCAGTTTTCTGTTCGAATGAGAGGTTCCTTCGGCGATTCGAATACAAACGTCGACTTATTCTCGTGTGACGTTCGCCGCGAGTCCTGACAAGAAGTAATAAATGATTGGTTGTTGGTTATGTAATGTCGATTAGATTTTGTTGCTTAAACATTGGAAAATTGACTTACCGATAAGAAAGGCGAATCAATCCTCGGTGGTGTTGGAGGACTGACAGGTGTCGCGACTGGCCTTAAAGAGAATCGTCTTGGTTTCACGATCGCAGCAGGACCGCTGAAAACTAAGCTGCTCCTTCTCGTCTGCTGTGTTACAGGTGGATTATTTTGGGGTATCCTATCAGCGTTCGAATCACGCGCATTTGAGTTTCGAGTATTTTGCGTTGTCGATCCGGATTGAGACGACGAGAACAACGTGAAGAGGCTGGGAAGTTTCGGTGGTGATAGGGAAGCGGTACCCATTTTTCTTCGAGGCCGCGCTTCGTGAACACGGTCCTCGGTGGTTGTCGTCGCGGCAGCAGTCCAACTGCCGGTGGTAGCGACGCTCGCATGTAAAAATGTAAGAGCCCTAACAAAATCGGCCAGGCTAGTTTCCTCGAGGAGATTACTACTTTCCATCTGGGATAGGTTGTTACCGACACCGGTGTGCGTATAATAGTGCCTCCTCAAGTTCGAGTCTCGTCCGTCATCGAGACTCGGCAAAGGTCCGCGGGGAACGGACGACTCTTCGATCTCCTTCCCGTTAGGATTCCGTTCCGGTTCTGAAATTTTTTTCTCCGTACTAGTGGAGAAGCGATTTTTCCAAGGGCCGGAGGACACCAATGCTTTCGGTACAGATTTTGCCAACGAAAACCTGCGAAATTTCGAGGAGAATTTTGAATCCTTAACACCACCACGGTCCTTGTTAGATGATTCGTTCGTTCGCGCGTTCATTAATTCTTGAATCGTTTTGGACGCTGTTGAACCGGACCAAGTCCATTCCGTGTGTCGATCCTCGTTCTTCTCAGTTTCATAGAGTCTAACATCGCTAGCTGCCCTCGAACGAGGTTTCGGAAATCGTGAAATTCGGTCGTTCGGTCCGATCGTCCAGCCGCCGAATCCGGAACTATAAGGCTCCATCGATTCCTTCTCCGAAACATCTTTGCTGTTATTGTCCTCGATTTTACTACGGCCCGGGTCTTGTTCGACAAAAGTGGTTTGATTCGAACAATCGGCCCCAATATCGTCTGTAGCCGGTGGTATATAACCGAGAATATTCACCAATCTCGCCAGTAACTCGGCCGGTTGAACCATCGCGTGGCTCGCAAACGTTGCAGTTTTGTCGATCCTCTGCAGATCCGTCTCGGAGACAACGCGTGCTATTTGATCTCCCTGCTGAATAGAATAATCAAGACGGTACTGATCAGTAATTTTCACATTTACGCGACCATGAATCTTCTCGAGAATTTCTTTCTTACCGTCGTTACTACTTCACTGTTTGCACGTCGCCGCGGTCTGTGCCGAACGATACTGTCTCTCCCTCTTCCGTCGTGCGACATATCTCGAAGATCGGGAAAGCTGCTGCTTCGTGGAAATTTTGCTCGTGGAATTTCGTGATTACATTCATTCACGTACACTCTCTGAAACAAATTAACATAATATGTACTTGTATGCATCTGAATATGCGATTCGAATAATCGCATCGCATTGCATGGCATCGCATCGCATCGTTACAGTTATACGTATATGTATGCATGTATGTATGTATGTATGTATGTATGTATGTATGTATGTATGTATGTATGTATGTGCATGTATGTGCATGTATGTACGTAAAGATCGATCCAATTTCAAACGCTATTTGTTTTATCTCTGAACAAGTTTAACCAACAGATGTGGTTGTGGTGGCGGCGACGGCGACAGCAATGGCGGATCTACGAAGCAGGTATGTACACTACAACAATCGAAATTATGAAAGTAATGTCTTCTTTACCTTGACCTTGGACAGCTGAAGTTCGTTGAAAACGCGGCGCAGATAATTGATCTCTTTATTGAATTCGTTCCAGATCTTGCTTTGCGTGTGTTTTAAATTTATCGCCAGCTTATGTTCGATCCTCGTGATCTTTTTGCTACGCATACCTCGGGCGATAAAAGTCATAATCATAACGGTGTATCCCAGTCCAAAAGAAATCCAGCAAATTAAAAAAGTTTTATACAATATGAAAAGGATCCCGCTACCTTTGCTATTGTCTTGTCCTGCCGATTGTAAAACAAATTCATTCGTATTTTATCTACGGTCTAGCTAGCCGTAAACGTTAAAACTTGCGTGCACCAATTGTATCCGATGACACTACGTAGGTACATATTAAGAATGGAAGTTAACGAACGTAAGTACGTACATGCATATGTATGTATGTATGTATGTATGTATGTATGTATGTATGTATGCATGCATGTACGTGCGTATGTATGTACGTACCTACATACCCAGATAGCAAATGACGCCAAATGACACCTTGAAAATAGAGTAAAAGGGCCTTAGACCTAAAATAGCCGTAAATTGAGCGTCTTGAATGCGTCATGTGTTATCTGGAATACGGAGTCTACTTACATACTATATTGAATGTCAAATCCTTGTTAGCGTACACAAAGAGAAAAAGATCCGTATAATCGTCGTGAGTAGTGTGTGTTTATGTGTTAACTTTATTCTCTTATGAGTATTATGTTGACCGCCGCGCAGTCTTTCTAAATCGAATTCGTTGCGCGAGAGTGCAAGCATCGTTGCTACGAACTCGTAACGATGTAGAATGTAGAACTATGTATGTACATACATCATGTATGAAGAACTAATGAATGTGACGAAACGTTTTCTAACCTGCCACGTAGTCTCCGAAACCGATGGTTGTTAACGTGACGAATGCGTAGTAAACTGCTTCGTCGTAGCTCCAGCCTTCGTAATGCGAGAAAAGGAATGCTGGGAAAAATATAAACATGACAAAACCAGGCGTTAAATAAGCGAATATCTGTGCGGCCAGTCCAACTTTTCTCGTTTCAAATGTTGTCAATTTTCTAGGACAGTAATCATTCCGGCCGTGGTGCTTGTACGATTTGTACTTCTGATGTGCTTTAACGAACGTGCGCCCGAAAAATTCTCCTAGTTGTGTTAGCAAAATTCCATTTATAGGTATTCCTATCAGACCGTAAAATATCATCAAGATGCGACCCAGCATGTTTGTCGGAGCCAAATTTCCGTAACCTGCATTGTGCACAATATTGAATAAACGAATATGTACATAATACATAAGCATAAGATGATTCGAGCCAGTTGAGAGAATATCGATCGCCAACGTGTATGCATATACATATGTATATTGTACGTGTGTATGTATGTTTGTACAATGTCGATTGAAAAATTATTATGTTATGTTTCAAACTTTCAACAGTCCTTAGGTAAATATCTACTTGGACGAGTCGATAGACTATTCTCTCGATGTTCACATAAATACACGATATATATTACATTATGTACGTGCATATTTGTATAATATGTAAATGACATGTATGCATGCGTACACGCATATGCACGGTAGGATTGCGTCTCTCTTTCTTTCTAGTTCCTTGCATGTTAAAAACTATAATTGTGCATACACGACGAACATGTATGAGCATATACATATACATACGTACACACATCACACATTACACATTATCGATACATACCTATAGTGCTAACAACGGTGTAAGCAAAATAAAAGCTGTTATAAAAATCCCATTTCAGAGGATCCGTTTCGCCTTCCGTATAATTATAAACCGATTTTCCACAGTATCGTGTCAATTTTCCAAGAATTTCGTCGTGGTTATGGCTGCGACTAGGCACGTAATGCGCATGAAGCAAAGCTGAAAAAGTGACAAATGGTTTACGACGTTCTACTCAGCGATTGCAGTTTACGTGAAATCATGAATCTATCGTGCAACGATCGCCATACTTGTAAGACGCTGTGTTTTGATTTCGACTACGGTCGGGTGGTAACGTTATCTGTTACCTATACACCTGTTTCTGGTTAAGTATCATTCAACCGGTCTTATATGGCTCGTATTCTCGGTTTGTTTTCCATTAGGTGAATTTCATTCGTGCTAGAATGACAATGAGAGTGGGGAGGGCGGGGCTAATAAATAGAGAAACTAGAAATTAAGACGTATGTGCGGAATTACCGCGTACAGATCGAGCTTTTCCCTCGTCGGATAAAACGTGTGTTCTCTGCGATATGGTCGTCGCATTTTGCAACAGCCAAATATGTATGTGTACGTGTACGTAAGGGATTCATTCGATCGCGGGCGTACAATGGGGTATCGGAGGATGGCTTATCGATTTTAATCGACTTTGACAGTTCACTGAATCCGATAAAACAGATTTTCGCCAATATTTTTCGACGATAATGATCGCTACGATTGATAGTTTGGTTGAAAATTTCAATCGATCGTCTCGACGCAATCCATGCATTCAAGGAACAATATTAATAACCTTAGGTACGGTATTTCGTTGCATTTAGTATGCAACGACAAAAAACAGCTGTTTGCGTGCGTGCGTGCGCGCGCGCGCGCGTGTAATCGGAACCAATGAATCTATTGCCAAAATCAGTTTACGGAGTATGAAACATCTGTCTGTGTGTAATTGTGATAAATTTGATTTTCAACACAGTTGGAATCGCGAATGTTTGCGAACGGGAGAAACACCGTTTGTAGTCGAGAATGGTTAATTTGCCGAATAAATAGCTGTAAGGAGTGGCAGGACGAGGTAATTTCACGAACAATGAATCCTATAGGAATGTAACCATCTATCGCGTGATGGTTTGTTATTTTTTTGTTGTGGGTATACAAATAAGTGTCACTTTCAATGAAAACTTGATTTTAAGTGACCGAGAAATTGCGTTCGTCGGTTGTTATCGATAAATCGTAGTGTAGCGCTGAAAAAATCCGCACGATTATAGGTGAACGCGTCTCTTTTATCTCGATTCGCCGATGAGATTGTCAGTGAAAGGTTTTTCTGCGCGAGCAACTATGGGTATGCTCACCGTTGATCTCGATGCGTTCTCGTTTCGCCCTTTCGACGCGCTCGATTTCTAGGCGACTCTCGATATGGTAAAAGATGGAAGCACCTAGCAGCAAGTACGTCAAGAACAGCATCAACAGGACCATCCATTGTTTCTTCGACATACTTTGCTTGAAGATGACGGAGTGTAAACCCAGACCAACCGTCAGGAACAATCGCAGAGATCTTTGTTAAAGAAAAAACGTGGTGGTTTCTTGTCGAACCTCATCTGTCAACACTCTTTGCTCCTGGAAATTCTACTTTGTTCTCATAATAGTTTGTAAATTAGCGATGCGATTGCAAGGACCTTATCAACTTGAACGAAAGGTCGACCGCACGATGGTAACGAAACAATGGTCGATCGCGATTGTCCTGCGTGGTGGTTTAACAGTTTCGCGGATCGTTGTCGCGATTCTTACTACTACGCGACACTAAAAGTGGATTAAAGACGATCAAGTGGACTACGACGACAAGATATTATCGCGTGATAACTCTTTAGACTCTGATTTCGCGACCTTCGGAAATCACGTTTTTTCACTCCCGATGACGGCACCGTTAGATATATGATACGATTTTAAGTGTCGACAACTAATCATTATCGATAATGCGATCGACTTTTCATGCTTGAAGCTCCTCTCGTTCTGTTTTGAGATAGATTCCTGAATATCCTGAAAAAGAAACACCAAATATACTGTGTCGGTTAGTTACTTTAGTCTCCACATACATACATACATATGCATACGCACATACATATGTACATATACCCTCGCGAGCAAACTCTGCTTCCACTAAGGGAAAAAGTGGCGAAGGGTAAGGGCCTCTCACCACTTGATAAATTTATTTCAACTAGTGAAATAAATGTTAAATCGAATGTTAATTTGGCATAAATTTCAATAATTCCCAATAGCAAATGGTAGGAGACCCTTTCCCTATGTTACTTTTTGTCTCCTAGTGGAAGCCGAGTTTGCTCGTGGGTGTACGTAACGTCGCTAACGATACGTATGTACATACGTACCGTGAAAAAGTATCAAATAAATTTACCTGTATCACGGCAACGCGAAGCATCGAAATATCTCCGATATATTTTATGCCAATCCTTTATCATCCGTTTCGTATTTTTATCCCTGAGATGAACAGCCGTGAGCTAGGTACATGTATACATACAGGCGAAGAGACAATATAACAGGGACGGAGTAACACAGACAGCGGAATGTAGAGAACTAAATGTACCTTGTCGTTGTGCGCGATTCCTTTTTACGTTTAAGAAATATGAACGTATGTAGATATACGTATAGATGACAATTAGAAGACGCGGAAGAATTTTCAATCCTGGCCAGTTTTCTCGAAACAAAGACGATCTACTTAACAAAGGCGGTACCTTCGGTCGAAAACGACATATATGTATAGTTCCGCACGACTGAATCGACAGTAGGTATCTGTATTTTCTCGACCACGTAGGAAACGCGCTATTGCGAGAACACTGATCGTTTCGATGTCCATAGCTAAATAGACTTAGGGACGTTTCCTCTGTCGCGTGACTAAAATTTTCGCACCGCACAGCTACCGATGAGCGCAGTTGGCGATAAAAATGTTCCCTTCGACGATACACTCTTTACGTAACTCGTGTCAGGTACTTTGCAAAACGCAATATATTCTGCTGGTTGAAAGATCGAAGGACAAGATCGATCGAACGCATGATTTATCGCGTAGACACGATACACGCTCGTGCTCGTTGACTCTGCGAATCGTCGAACCGTTTTCTCGTCGATGGTGGTCGATTTTTTTGCGACGATGTTTCATTCACACCAATCGTTCACTTTAGACGTTTTTTTTTAATATTGATAAGCGAAAAAAAACCATAACGTGAAAATGTAACTTTCTTATAGGTACAAAGTGGCCAAGTAAATATCTTCTGCGAATTACCCCGTTATAACTTTACTTTCGTACGACTCAAACGGATTAACGGATCGTACGCGTCGCATTGCACGCGAACGTTACTGTGGCCGCGCAACTATCGTTCTTTTACTGTGTAGCAGCTTTTACAAAAACACGATAGTGTTTCAATTGGTCATAATTATCGAAGATTCGTGGAGAAATTAATTATCAACAAGTGTTGGTATTTCCATACGCATCAAACAAAATATATACTTTTCCTATTAAGATAATAATCTCCTCACGACCAACCTTCAAAAACAAGACATTGATTTATTTACAAAATAAAGTGGTAGCAACTAATTGGAGAATTATTTGTTAGATATTCTAACACACGGATTTCATGTGTTAACGAAGTAAGTTAATTCCTTTTTATTTGTACAGACAACATCGACTGTATTCGAATACGAATGTACATACCAACAGAAGTTATATCTTCTTTACACATGCAAACAATTTTGAAACAGATACTGAATAAACGTGAATTAACCAATCGCTGTACCAACAAGAGCAAAGTGCTTTCGATAATACGCGCTATCGCAAGTAAAACAATAACTTACGTTCAATAACGTTTCGATCATGGTCGAAATGAATAAGATGTTTTGTCTAAATTTCAAATGAAAAAGAAATACATACCTTACAAAATGTGAACCGAAGAGTACATTGTATAGAGAAATCTTAAAAACACAAATTGCACGTATTAATCACACATCATTAATCACTGTTGCGTCGAGACTTTTCTCCGTGCATACATGTATGCATATGTACGTATGTATGTATACATATATAAAAAAAAAAAAATACAATATCCTACGATACCCATAAGTTTCTAAGATACCACCGGTCAAGTTCAACTTGTTATTAATTATGTATCGCGCGTAATTATGCAATTTCGCAGCCGAAGGGACTCGCGAAACTACTGGAAATAATAAAATATGAACGATACAGCAGTGAGATACATATGTACGTCGAAACGTGCATGAACCAATCTACATGACCGTCGACTGAATTGGATCGTCCGCGAACGATGAATTAAACGTTAAACTTGTATACGCCTGTTACAATCTGAACACTACGTACAACCGCGTAGAGCAAGTATGTACACATATATATATATATATATATATATGTATACACGCGTAAATATGTGCTACATACATACTTCGTTATTCATTTCTTTCCACGTTGTGTATTCTAACGAGTGGAAATTCTTTTCTGGCTACAACGTTAAATTTTCATCGTGCGAATTATATTACATTTACCTAAAAAGAAAAAACAAATAGAAAGAAAAAATTACAATTCGATATGTACCGTCAAAAAGATCGAATACTCTTCCTCAACCATTGCAATCCGTGGTCGATTGTATGTATGTAGAAACAAAACGAACACTGCATCATCGTCGACATTAATACCGATCGGTAATATCTACGAAATCTTACCGTCATGACGAATCAATCAATCGACTGGCACAGGTTCATCGAAACGATCTATATACATGTCTGCTGTTGTGGCTTTTATTCTTCGACAAAATTTCTTTCAAGTAAGACCATACTTGTGACATTTTTATTTCTACACCAAGAACACTTGTTTGAATGTGAACTACGTATGTACATACATACATATATTATGTAGTAGTGAACACATCCGCAAAACCAATTGGCTGACACGAGAATGAGAAACAAGAACTATATGTGTATGTAATAAGTATATGTATACTCGCTGAGAAGATGTGTATGTAATGTAACTTTGAACGATTCTTGCTCGGAGATATCTACATACATGTATGTATTTTTTAAGTACACCGAGTATCCGATTTATATCATATATTATGTAGCATCAGAATTATATCGTAAAGTATCAGGAACGCGAGAGAGTAACAGTTCGACAAACTGCAACAGTGTATAAGTGAAAATAAATCTCTTAATTCTCTCTGAAAAGTATGATAAAACACCGGCAATACAAACGCAATGCAAATTAGACATGAAGATAATGGAAAAACATGAATTTGAAAGCCGAAGATGAAATCTAACACAGGAGCCGGATCGTGGTAAAACGAACTTGTACTGTCGAATCCCGCACTACATTAATATTCGATGTGATGTTCAGACATGACTGTTATGGAGGATCTTCTCGAAAAATCCGAAGCCCGTAACACGACGTGTTAATAAAAATGTTTGCTTAGTAAATTCGTGCTAATAACACGATTGGGACTTCTTTCAGTCGTAGTCCTTCATCCTGGCCATCTACGAGTATAATTTATACGCAGATTGTCTACTGTTTAACGAAGAAACGATCGATATTTCTCAACAATTGCTAGTTTTACTCATGATTTATGATACTTCGAGTCATTAATAAACACGTATATAGTACAGAGTTTTTACTTTTCGTAATCTGAAACCTTTACACTGTAAAAAATTATCAGATTATTTGCCAAACAAATTTAATTATCAGAAATTTCATAATTTCTTTGCATTTCTGTACATGTATACACTTTTCTCGTAACATAGTGCGTAGAGAAACAAAAACTAAACGGAACTCTCATTAGCGATTATATGCATTGATGGGCGGGGATCGATTGGTTGCAAAGTGATGTGAAAGTCCGACGTATGTAAGTACCTATGTACATACTCCATAGGTACATAGTGAAATAAGACTCGCGTTACTCATGGGCTAAGATCTAAGAGATTTGATAATTGTTAAAACAGAGGCACGTTTGAAATCGATTTCATAACACGTGTGTGAATTGAATGGATCGCGATACACTAATGCAAGTTGAAATGGAACGAATGATCATGCATCGAGTGCAGATTCACGACGAACGAGGTAGATACGTACCTAGGGTATTTTAGACCTAAAGGAAACATAAATGTATGATCGCTGTTTTAATTACTAGTCTGGGTTATGGAATGATCATCCGTACAAATTCATAATGGTGAAAATCATAATAATAATAAACCATGAACGAACGCAGACAGTGATGCTGCTGTGGGTAATTACAAACAAAAACATTGTCCGATTAGTACCGAATAACTTCTAGACACTTAAATAATTGATACTTTATTCTCTTACAATAAAGCACAACGTTGACTGCGCCATTCGTGCCAACGAAATTAAGGTGTTGTAGCGTGGAACAAGATTATTGAAAATACACGAAACAAATTAACGTTCGAGCAACCACCGTTATCCAAATGACGCGCTAATTCCAACCAAGTTCTATGTCTTCGATCTTTATATTGAGTTCTTCGAACGAGGTATCCATTCCAGGCTCGTCGAATCCGTTGTTCAACTCAATCTTCTGTGAACACAGTAAACGCCCAGAACCAACCTGTGTTATCGCTACTAATACCTTTCGTTATTATTAGCTACAAAAAAAGAGTGTAACGGTTGGGTCCAACCTGTAATGCTGCAATTTGTGAAGGATCACCGACAAATAGTATCTGCGTTTCATTTTCGTTTAGATCATCGACCGCTTTGGAATGAATTTGAGATTGTCTATCTTTCTCTACAACCTTTCGTAACATACACACAAGGATGTTGATGTGCATTGACAAAATTTTGTTTAATTATATTTCAATCGTTAAGTGTCCTGTAATAAGTTACCTTTAGCGGTGGACTCCCAGTTTTTTCTCGAGATACGTACGCCTTCCGTCTGTCTTTGGCTCGATTAATAGGCTCCGGCACTGGTTCTTGGGAAAAAACATCTACGTTATCGTCATTATCGACTAACGCGTGCGCCGTCCTTTTATGCATTATAAGAGTACTGCTCTGTCTGTATCTCCGGAAACAAACTTTACATTCGAAGGGTCGCTGCTGTGTATGAACCTAAAAATGAAAAGAATACGTTGTTTCAAAGTATAACCTCGTACCAGCCTCGGTTACCAGAAAAACATGATATCTCTATACTTACGAGGTGATGTTTGTAAAGACTAGAATACTCTGTGAATCTCCTTCCACAACTATCGATCGAGCAAACGTAAGGTTTCTCGCCGGAATGAATTCGAATATGATTTTTATAGTTGGTCGCGCTAGCGAAAGCCTTTCCACATTTAGGCTGCGTACATTTGTATGGACGTTCACCCGTGTGCGTTCGGACATGAACCTGTTAGCCGGCACGTGTGTATAATACACGCATATCCGTGCGATTAACTGTCTATCCATTAATACTATTACAAACAATTACGTTCCGTCTTACCTTTCTAATGTTGCTTGTGGTAAACGACCGACCACAACCGTCGAACGGGCACAGAAAAGGGCGTTCTCCAGTGTGTGTTCGAACATGCTTTAATAAATCCCCAGAAGTTTTAAAACTTTTGTCGCACGCTTCGTTCGGACATTTGTAAGGTTTCTCTCCTGTGTGTGTACGTGAATGAGCCTTCAGACTGTAGCCTGTCGAAAAGCTCTTCTTACATTTCGGATGCGTGCATCGATATGGTCGCTGACCAGTGTGGGATCGTTCGTGTACCTAATTCAATAACATCTTTTTGTACGAAATTCGATACCCTGTCACGTCGTTCAGCCAAATCAGACCTGACCGTGAGTAGGCTCGAGAATTAACACAAAATAAGCAAGAGGTAAACATATTGCCCGAATTGAGTTTTTGGTTTGTAAATGTGTGTGTGGTGTGTGTGTGCGCGTGCGCGCGCGCGCGGGTGTGTGTGTATGTCCACAGAAGAGTCCACGCACGGGCAAATCAGATATATTTAGTATTATCATTGAAAGTGCCTTTCACCTTAAGATGATGGGGAGTACTATAGACCTTTGAGCAACCTTCTCTTGGACAAGGATGCCTGATCCTCGAAGCAGACAGTTTATTTAACAAAATCTTAGGGTCCTTCTTTTTAAGTTTACCACTCTCGATTTCCCAGAGATCTCTGCCGACGTCAAGATGGCCTGTCACCATATAGGCAGTACCATCTATGAACTCCACTCTTGGATAGCTATTCTCCGCATTCTCTATAGTGGCATTACGTGTTTCCACCAAAACCGATGGATCTAATTCCAGTTGAAGTGACTTACCATCTGTAAACTCTGATACATCTCGAAGTAATATAGTATCTCCATTGTCCAATTCTAACGTTGCTTGACCCTTTGTATCCAACACTACAAGCAACAAAGAAGGAAAATAGTTAAATAAAACTTTAGATGCATTATTAACCCTGTCGACAAAACGGTTTTGTTATTTTCATGTTGTGAAAAACAAAACCTTATGAATAATATTGTACTGTATATGTATGTATTGTGTCAATTATGTCCCTGACCATTGTCGTTACAATTATTTGCCACAAATGCTTGTGTTCCATCCGGTAATGTTACAGCTGTCAATGTAGTCCCGCTTAGTAACTGCTCCTCCAATATTAATTCTTGTATTCGACCATTCTCATTGTTGTCTTCGTTAATTAGAACTGACAGGCACTCCAAGATATCTGCGCGATTGCTCTACAAAATAAGAATCAACCGATAACCAGAATATTCAGGAACACGTGCTACTACGAAAATTAACAAATGGACCAAAAAAATGACCAAGTCGTGTTGTTACCTGTGTCTCGTCTGACATGGTCTCGACATCTCGAGTCACGAAGCAATTCGAAAGCTCTGTGCCTTGTGTCGACATATTTTGCTACAAATCCAGAGCTGCGAACAAACAATGTTTCGCGATGATCGCCGATGATCGACGTCATTATTTTGAATCTTAGTTTCGTGTCCACAGGTAAGCATCTGTCTCAAAATAGGATTTATCAACAATTCGTTTGCAACACATCAAAGATTTACGCGGCGCTTTTTACACCGAATTACTGTTACCGACGAGATCGCTTGTACTGCTACGCGAATCTTTACAATACGAATATTCGAAAAAGATATGAGTAGTAGTTGAAATGATTCACCGACTCACTATTTATATAGATCGAATCTTCTCGCTACGATTGTAACACAAAACGCTCGAGAGGTTCTTAACATTCGTAACAGCGGTGATCATTGTGCCATTAACAATGCTATCAAGAGAAACGATGATATCGTGTAAATCGTACGTTTGACAATCGTGGAAACAGTAATAACAGCACCGGTCGTAGTCACGGTCATGATCGTAACGAGCCGAAAAAAGCCAATCGAATAACGAAGCGCGCCAAATCACATCTAAAGTGGAGAAACTCGCCATTTTTCTCGTCGTTTCGACATACACACGCACAGCAAATGTGAAGTTACATTATTGACGATAAGGAAACCAAATCGAACGAATTCGCGTAACATTCGAATGTCGTTTGTTTCTCTTTCCGTTCTTCTTTCTTCTTCCTTCTCGCACAACGAATTCGATTGTCAGTGTTTCGCGCAGCCTCACGGATGGGTGCCAAAGAATCTTGGGAAATATTACCCATAAACACGTACACCCGCGAAATATATATATCTGATGATATAAAGACGATACTTGCTAAGTTACACTACGCACAAAAACTTTTACGCACCGTTAGGTAATCAATTTTGATGAGCATGAACTTTTTCATTGAAGCTACATTGTGAAGCGAAATAGACTACTTATAATCGATACCCCTCTCTCGTTTGAGATTGTTGCATTGTATCGTTATAAATATCTTCATGCAGTGTTGATACGATACTGCATATACTGACCATTTCTAAGTTCATATTCGAGCAGTTTTTGAACATTTTCAACATTCGTAGATCATTTTTTCTATAAAAAAAGTCTGATACAGCGTGTAATATTTCATATTTTCGTTGCTATCAGTTGCGATGCACAACGTGTACCCTCGCGAGCAAACTTGGCTTCCACTAGGGAAAAAAGTGGCGTAGAAGAAAAGTCTCCTACCACTTGGTAAATTTATTTCAAGTACTAAAATAAATGTTAAACTAAATATTATTAATTTGGCATAAATTCCAATAACCCCCGAGACAAAGTGATAGGAGGCCCTTCTTCTACGCCGCTATTCCCCTAGCGGAAACCGAATTTCCTCGTGAAGGTATGTATCAGGTCCATGGTATGTATACAAGGTGTCCCAAAATAATTGTAAGTCCTTGGAAGGGGTAATTCCTCGGGTGATTTGAAACAACTTTTTCTTTAGCGACAATGTTCATTTTTTGGCTAAGGAAAAAATTGTTTCAAATCACCCCTCTCAAAGACTTACACCTAGTTTGGGGCACCCTTATATGTATTAAATTTGTATATCTCTATTTTACGATGGATACGGACATTCCTATACCAACGCAAGTTAATTCACCCTACTCTTCTACACTCCTCTATCTTCTATTTAGAAGATGTTACGAAACACAGCATATCCATCTATGTCATGTTATTCTATGACGCGATCCATAGCATATATAGACGGAGCATGGACTGAGCGGGGGAATAAGATTCGCGGTAAGGGGGTGGTTAGTTATAAATCGGGCAACTTCGTTCCTTTTCGATGCTATTCGGGTATACAACCACGTTACATACCTGTATGCTATGAGAGATTAAAAGAATATACTTATTATACGTTAAAAATTCCGTATGTCATGTATTTGTATAGATATATGTATTTAACAAAATTAATAAATAGTATAAAGCATTAAATAATAGTCCGGCACACAGCCCACCAGCCATTAATAACGAGCCGAATCAAGTCGAATGCATCCGAAGATAACCGACGTATATCTAACGACCGCTGTCTTTTCCCCTCCAATCCTACGATCCCCTCGTCCGAAATGGTAGCTTATGCTCCGTCTATATATGCTTGTATGCTATGACGCGACTCGTATATATATAATAGACTGCGCGGTCTTATAGTAGGGATGAAGTCGGCACGAGAGAGAGAGAGGACAATAACTGGAGTGGCTTTTCTTTCTTTCTACTAGAGTGGTAAAATCTCATTACCAAGTGGGGGATTCTTCTACGCACTTCTACGACTCTAGTGAAGGCATTACATTGGCATTACATGCGTGTAGCATTTCTTCTCCTCATCGCTCTCCAGTAACTTTCTCCCCTCCATTTGCGATGTGCGAGCAAGAGAGGAGTTACTCTAGCGCTATTTCTGTCCTTCGGTCTCGCTTCATCCATACCATAAAATTGCGCAGTCTATTATACGTATGGCCATATAATATGGATCTCAGCATATATGTATAAGATTTAGTATATGTATAATATACACTGATATATATATATATATATATATATATAATCATAAACATAGCATATATGTATAGACAAAGTGCATGTGCCCTGTTATAAATGTTGTGTTGATCTGTGTTGATCCATCAAACGAATAGTGGGATCACTTGATTTCCATTAGTTAATGCTGTCATTTGCTAAAAGTAAGGAGAAATAGTTGATGAATATCTACTGGGTACGCGATGAATTTAGCGGTGATTAAATCCAGAATCGGGTAATCGATAGTAGGTAGGTAATGTTTTATTTATTTTTTCTTATTGCGAAACTATTGTCCTGTTGGATCTATTGGATGGGATTGTAATTATTAATCCTGGAGTAGCACACTGTTTCTTTTTGGACTATCAAGTGTCACACTGGGGTCTTTTAGATTTAACGTGATTTTCGCACATTTAAAACATGTAAAAAGTTCTGCATAAATTCATTGAAATACTTTCTGGTATTTAGTTTAGGGTTGTAAAATTAAAATGTTCAAAAAAGATAAAGAAATTTCATATTTGTACTTATTTTCTGATACAGTAAGGAAAATTAGTGTCCTGCAGGAGAAATTGTACTTAACGATATGAAATGAATAATAAAAAACGGTTTTAATCATTAAATCCTTAAACAAATTTTATGTATACTTATATGGATATAACTAACTATCCTAACATGTGCATTAGACTTTTCATTCCACATATTGTGATCTTTTATGTTCTGCATTGACTTGAAGTTTTTATCGTTCAGAATTCAGGTTACATTTTGTTACCATACTTGAATAAGTTATTATATGTTTGTAGAAACATTTTTTAAAGAGTCGAGGCGATCTTAGCGAATAAATAACCATTTATTTATTTATGTAGAGAATTCTGTTGGGGTTGTGAAAAACCCTGGTGTGCTACTCCAGGGTTAACATTTCCAGATATGTGTGTACAGCAGTCATAATCGTATTAATATTTATAGATATAGGATGCAACAAGACAGGCTTATAGAAGATCCATTTGAGGTGGCAAGACCGTTTCTAAAATTTATCGATAAAAGCTATCAAGGTGCAACGCTTAAAATGTTTGGTTCAAAGATGCAATCGTCGAACAGCACCTTTTACACCGAATTGGATTCAGATGTGGAAGACAAAGAATCTTATTTGAATGTAACAACGACATGTCCAGATATAGGGCACACAGACACTCCGTCCGATTGTTCTAATGCGAGGACCGACGGTAAGAAATCGGAAGAACGTAATCGGGATACATTTCATGGGATCGCCACTTTTAGTGGTTTCTCACGGTTTCGATCGTTTCTGATGACTGCCGAAAGTTCAATGGATCATATTGATATCGGGGACGACGAAGAGAATTCAATAAAACTGCCATTTCGATTAGCGCACAGTGTGATAGAATATAGACGCAGCAGGTAAGATATACATATATGGTTTGTAGTATCAGTTGTTACATGAACGAAGAAAACAAGGTACATCAGTTGTAACGTTTCCAGATATTTAACTGCAGAGCGAAATTCCCGTCGATATACGGTGGATTCGTATACAGTAAGCGAATCGGAGAGCGAAGAAGAATCGGAGGGTACTAAATCCTCGGAAACGGACTCCGCGATAGTTGTGGATCATACTGACGACACAGCAGTAAAAACTGGAGCGAGCGACAGCATACGTTGCATGGATTCGAAAAGGAAAAAGGCGCGTCGAGTTGCTGAAGAATTACTAGCTACGGAGAAGAATTATGTTAATGTTCTCAGGCTTATCGATCAAGTATTTCAATTCAGAGTCGATCAAGAGAACAGAGCGCATCCTATGTTTCCTTCGGAAACCGTTCAACATATGTTCTCTAATATCAAATCTATTTACAAGTTCCACAATGATTTCCTATTACCCCAGCTACAGGAAAGAATACAAAATTGGGAATCGGATCCCAGAATCGGGGATATTATGAAGAATTTTGCTCCATTTTTAAAAATGTATACGGAATATGTAAAAAATTTTGATTATGCCATGAACTTAATTCACACTTTGCAAACTAAAGTCGTCAGATTTGCTGCGATTATCAACGAGATACAAAAATTGGATGAGTGTGCCAAGCTATCTTTGCCTCATCATATGTTGAGTCCTATACAAAGATTACCAAGATACGAGCTACTTCTGAAAGATTACCTGAGAAACCTCACAGAAGAAAATGCTGATTACGAGGATGCTAAAAGTAAGGATCTTTCGAGTTCCATTCGGTGAATTGCTTCCGCGTAAAATAACGCGCATCTAGCAAGGAATGGCTTCTATTTAAACGTCTATTGAACGGGGCACGTTTAAATAGACGTCGGTAGTTGGCGCCGATTGTAATCGTAGAATCAAACGAACAGACATGGCTTTCTTTCTCGTAGAGGCATTGGGATTAGTATCTACTGCTGCTAATCATACAAATGATGCAATGAAGAAGATTGATAAGTTCAAAAAGCTTCTCGAAATACAAGAGAGCATATATGATTCAACAGATCTAGTTAGTGCAACGCGTGAACTTGTAAAAGAGGGCCGTATCGTTAAAATTTCAGCAAGGAGCGGTGATCATCAGGAAAGACACTTGTTTTTGGTACGTATACCAAGAATGTATCGCAATTTGTCTATTGTCGATACGCCTTATAAGAATACGATCTATGACACAACTACACATGTACGTAGCAGTCGATACTACTGCATCGCTACAATCAGTTGGGTTTTGGTGATCGAAATATCTTTTATTTTTCCCACTTTTCAGTTTAGTGATTTATTATTACTTTGTTCGATACGACTGATACCTGGACCGTTGTATCGGTTAAGAGCTAAATTCATGGTCGAAAATTTGCAAGTAATGGAGGGCGACAATTTAGAAACGGCAAATACTTTTTACATAAGGGACGAAGAGAAAAGTGTTGAACTGTACACGCATGCGGCCGAAGAAAAAGCTGCGTGGCTTGATGCTCTTTTAGATACGATGCAAGAAATTATTAGACGAAAGGCGAGTTTCAAAACCGGAAATGTTAAAACGCTTGGTATAAAAGCCGAAGACGTAACCAAGTGCATGATATGCCATGTAATCTTTTCTGTAATGAAAAGAAAACACAATTGCAGAGCATGTGGAATAGTGAGTACGCTTTTTGATATTGTGTCGTGTCGGTAACAATGAAAATTGGGAGAATCAAGGTGAAACTATAATTACAGAAGATTTTTGTATTATTTTCTATCGTTACAGGTAGTTTGTGGTAAATGTTCGAATCAAAAATTATTATTCGAGGATAATAAAAATGTGAGAGTTTGTCGTTTATGTCATGCCACCTTAACGCAGCCACTTTCCAAATCACCTTCTACGACGTCACCGTCCGGACCAGTACCAAGTTTATTGCAGGTTTCGGCGAGCGCATCGTCCGTTATATCTGGATACCTTATGTTGAAGACTCAACCCAGTAAGCCTTGGATACGACGATGGTTCGCATTGCACATTGATTTTGTTTTATATACCTTTAAATCTGAAACTGAAAATATGGCTCTAACGGCGACTCCGATGCCCGGTTTTATTGTTACGGAAGCTATCAAATTATCCGACGAAGATCCTTTGAGCCTTAAAGACAGATCTAAAGCCCTCAAGATGCATCATTCCAGGAAGAGTTATTATTTACAAGCATCCTCGCAAGAAGATAAGCAGAAGTGGGTTTCGATCTTTCTCATATGTACACATCCATGTATATGTATAATGTGTATGATTCCTATTCTGTATAATTCAATGTTTTATGGGGATTGCTCAATTTTTAGATGGTTCCATGCTCTACAGTTAGCTACTAAAGCAGAATTACCCCCGTTTGCAATGGTTGAAAACGAGGAGGTAGAAAAGAGCCAACTGATTGTTCATGCACGATAAACTACTTGCACAAGTTTCTTAGTGATGTGAGACAAATTCTCTTGTTATCGTAAACTTGTAAGACCACGGCGCGGTAAGATAATCGTTAGTAGTTAATTATTATACAAGAATAACATTCTGTTATATGATACACGGTCATACATGTATGCAAATTGTTATTGGTGTACTCTGGTCAACTCCATGATGATTACACTGCCAAAACGCTTGTTGTATTTTGTACCATTTTGTTATATTTTAAAAAAAGACAGTTCTCCTTTGAAGTAATCCTGTTTATGTACAGAACAGAGTTGACGTTTTATAACTGTATATACAGGATGTCCTAAAAAGATGGGGCAATCCGCAACATTATTCCTCGTGCAAATACAAATCGAAAAGTTCTTTACCGTTTTGTAATTTGAAGCTCCATTTCCGAGATATTATCAGTTAAACGAACTCCAATCAGTTGAGCGGTGGGTCACATGTATGCACAGAAACATTTAAGAAGCAGAGACCAGTGCATAGGTCGTGGTCGTGCTTTTCTTGAATGGCTGCGCGTACGTGTGGCTGAGAAATGGATACAGCAGTACTGTAACACGTTCCGGCTGATAAAATTTATATTTCTAAGCCGATTTTGCTCTGCGAGTCCTTAGTCGAAGCAGAAATGCTTACTAGTAATTGCTGGCCTAATTAAAATATTTGGTGATCATTAATTAACACAGGATAAGTTTTATCAGCCGAAACGTGTTGCAATACTTCTGTATTCATTTCTCGGCCAATCCTAGTTTTCGATGCGTGTCGTGCTGCTGCTGCACACATTATACACTATTTTCTTTAACCAAAAGTTAAGAATTTCCTATTATCAAAGCATTTAGTTCTCGTTTATTCATTCATCATGTTTTAAACGCAAGAATAAGCGCATGCGCCATAGGGAAGTATACCGCGACTGAACCCATGGAAATAGGAATTAGAAGACGAAGCGCAAGGTCCCATTCCTAGGTCCATGGCTGAATGTAAAGACAGTAGTGCCCTCGCTTCGTGGCAAAGTTCTAAAGTACACTTTGTTTCTGTAAGGGATCACCCCCACCACGGGAGTGTTCGGACCTGTATATATGACCGTGCCCGCGGGCCATATGTTGAACCATAGACATATGGTATGTGTTGAACAGGCCTGAAATACGCCATCAATGACTGACAATGACCACCAAAACCAAACGACCACCGTAATAAAGAGTTAAAAAGTTGAAGTTGTCCGCCTAACTTCACGTAAATCGCAGCACTGGACAAAATCCCGCGATAGCGCATGCATACTTACTAGAGATGGCGTGCAAAATAACTAACGGTGATTTATCACAGTGATCGCCGAATCACAATCACGGTCGTGATTTAACTTCATTCACAACCGTGATTGCGATTTTGCTATCTTGGGTGAATTTGCTCACTGCGATCGTAAGTCCTTGATCTTTAAACAGAAAAACGTATTCAATATTTTTTTACGATAATTACATTACTATTCGTGTTTGTAAACATCAGTAGAAAAAACAAGAAATTCTAAAAAAATGATTTGCTTTGTAACATGTAGATTATAATTTGTAATCATTAATTTATTCATTATTCTTCATTGTTTCTACTTATTCCTTCACTTTATAGGATATAACTCTAATTTTTGTTTTGATGTCGTTAATGTGAAATATACAAATTATGTATCGCGTGTAAAGAACTGTTAGGTTTCTCCACCAATAAGAAACGATCACGGGAAATCACGAATCACTGTGAAAAATCATCGTGATTGGGTACGAACGTGATCGAATCACGAGTGATTCACAAGTAGCAGTTCACGCCATCTCTAATACTTACATAATATAGCCAACGTTACTGAACGTTACCGCAGGAGTTCAGCCGGTAGATTCACGCTCTGATTGGTCGGGGTTTTCCGTTAATATTTCGTTAATAAAGCCTCGGAGAACATTTTCGCTAAGGAAAAAGTTGTTTCAAATCACCCCGGGAATCACCTGTTCGAAGAACTTGGAAGTATTTTGGGACACCCTGTGTATGTGTATACTAACGGGAATTCATAAAAGTTGGAGATCGTTGAGATTTAGGAGGTTGACTAATTGGAGAGAAAAGGACAAACATAGAAGCGGCAAGAAAGAAAGTAAGAGAGAGAGAGAGAGAGAAGAAAAGACTCTTCCGAACAATCCGAACAAATGGCAAATAGGGAAATGTACGAACTACTTGCACATAACCTTTGTTTCCGGAATTCGAGATGCTTTGAGTTTCGTGTCTTCGACAACGCATATTATAAAAAATCACAAATCTTATTTGGATAATGGCCGCAAACACTTTAAATTTATACAAAAGTCAATAATGCTTGATCTATAAAAGATACTTTAATTGGTTTCAATTTGTTTAGAACGTTGATGTTCTCACGAAATGTAAGGCGATGTGTTTCGTTCGAAGAATGAATGATTGAAGAAAAAACGTAAGATGATATAGTTATGTTGCCTTCGACCGGTTACTTTAAAGCTATCAACTGTCCGTTTTACGAAAGCGGAACTTGCGATAGGCCCTACTGTCACTTCAAGCATTCGAAGCGAGGTAAGTTATTTTGTTGTTAGAATCTTGTATTACTGTAATTGTGTTGTGTTTCATGAAAGATGACTGAAAGTTATATAAAAATATCTGTTCGATGAAATATTTATTATTTGGTACATATGACTCTTGGAAGAAAAAATTACAAACAGCAGATATGTGTTTCAGAAGATGCCACGGTTACAGTGGAAACGGTCGAAACGTTGGAAAGTCGTTCGGGCCAAATTCAAGAACCAAAACCAACAGCCGTACAATCTAATAGTGATGTTTTGCAACAATTGGTGACTGAAGCCGTCAAGAAAGTTCTCGCTAATCAAGAAGTCACAAATACGGATGAATTTTCATGCCAGAATGTTGTTACTCAAGTTGTTGAAGGGTTAAAGCCCTCTTTGACTTCTGGATCTTCCAGTACATTGGAAATTGTTACACCTAACACTGCGGAGAAGAGAACAGATGTATCAACGTCGATTAATAAATCTATTCCGTGCGTTTATAATCCTACACCGATCGCTGAGCTTAAGAAACGTCATATACCAATAATATCGTACATGCCAAGCAGGGAAAGTAAAGTTGCTGTGAAACGTAAATGTTCCCCCGATGGAGTTAAACCGTGGCTAGGTCTAGCTAGCGATTTACCGGAGTCTCTAAGTACCGAAGCTAAATACAAACCTACGACGATAGTTAACATTAATACGCGGGAAGCTTCGCAAAGCTACATACCTACGTGTAAGGTTGATCCAGTCTCGTCGAATTCGCTCGAGGACGGGAACTCTAGTGATTATCCGCTTAAACTTGGGGAAGCATACTATCCAAAGTATAAGAAGAGAAGGGAAGAGTATGTTCCAAAGAAAGTAAAAGCCCCGCTGAAAAGTATCGAGGGCCTAGATGACTCAACGTTGGATAGTTTTGAATCGGGATTTAATACGGTGAACGATCCGACGGTAGATGGACTTTCGTCTACTTTTCAGGGCAATGAGGAACAGCAAGAATTTTATTCTGATTTAGAACCGAAATTCTCGGATGATGACGAGAACGATAACGATAACGATAACGATAACGATAACGACAACGACAACGACAACAACGACGACAATGATAACCGGGATAATGTTGGATATTACGATCACAGTTCGGATAAGATTAACGGTGATAGCGTTGACGATGCAACTACAAACGAAATTGAACTGTGCGATGATGCCACGAACAGCGGTTATTTGAATGATGAACACCATGCACATTTACATTCCACGAAAAGAAATATTAGCGACGACTGTATTAGTAACGAATATTGCGAAGAGAGGGTACCGAAAGGCAGCAGCGTTTCGACGCGCGGTACTCCTGTGGTTAAAGAAGTTTTGAAAACCTTACAATCCGAGAAGGGTAAAAGTTTGGAAGTGGACACGAGTAAAGCAATCGACAAGAACGTGAAAGAACAGAAGTGCGGAAAAGACTATAGGAGTAAAAGCCAAAGGGATCACGATAATTCACATAAACGGTACAAAGAGAAACGTGTTTCGATTGAAAAGTCGCATTCCGCATCCTGCGGTCCGAGCAAGGATAAGAGTCGTACCAAAGGCGATAGTAAGGATTCAAAAAGCAAGAAACACGATAAAAACAAATGTAGAGACAAGAGTGACGAGAAACGTCGAGACAAGAAAAGGAACAGAGATGGAAATGAAAATCGAAACAAGAGCAAAAGAGACAGGAGGGGTTCTCGTGACTCAGAAAAGCACAGAGATGAGCGTGACTCGAGCAGATCTGTTGGATCTTCGAGGAAGGGAGAACGCGTTAAGAAAAGAAGCGACGGCAGTAAACGTTCGAATTTGAATCGTAAATCTGACGACGAGGACAGAACCGAGAATAACGAGGAAAGGAATTCGGCTGAGAGGCTCACGAATCTGTTGGAAAGCGTTCGATCAAAGCCAGACTACAATCCCGACGAGGAAAATGACGACGGCCGCCGCCACAGCATTGTCGATAGCTACATAGATGAAATAATTTTAAGTGGATCCGACTCCGATCACGACGTCCAAGAAGAGTGCTTGAAGATATTTCAGGTATACGTGACAAAATTATCGGCTTAACATAGAAAAATCTCAGTTGAACAATATAATTAACGTAGAATCGGTAAAACAAATATGTACATTTGTTTGTACTGTTTAGAGGAAATTGGTAGAAATTGGTAAAAATTGGTAAATTAATTATGACTTTTTTTATCTTGATCACATGATCTTATCACGTCCTTCCTATGGTACGTATTGTGTGGTCTCACAGATCTCGTTTTTTCGTTTAAGGAATATCAAGTGTCGGAGCGATCAAAGTCTACGGTATCATCCAGAGAATTTTCGTCGGGACATGAAAAAGAGCAGAATGAAGAATTAGGTAGGAAAAGGGTAGCTTATCCTTCGGCGGCCATGTGTGTTACCAGACAGATCGTTGTTAACCAGGAGCCAAAGAAATTAACAAATCCTCACCAGAAATTGTATGAAAGATGGCGATCGATGAGAGACGCTGTAGCAGAAAAAGCGATTTCAGTGGGTAGTAACGTTTCCGTTTCCAAGGAAGTACAACGGCGACACCAAATTGAAGCTACAGGAACAGCGTGTAATAATGAAATCAAATTAAATGGAAATGGTAAGACAGCAATGTTGCTTTTCTATAAAACCACAGGCAAGGTATAGAATTGGTTGCTGGTAGTGGGAAAAAATCGATAACAGTGTAATTCGTGACTCGTTGTTTAACCCTTTGCGGTCCTACGTCGAGTGTGACTCGTCGTTATGTTTCGAACGCAGTAGCAATTACACACATTGTGTATATATTTATGTAAGTTGATGCTAATAGAGACTAGATAGGAGCTGCGTCGTCAGATATTTTGGTTCGGTCATGGCTGAACTTGAAAGAAAACGGACAGTGGTCATCGTGGACCGGCTGATACGAGAAACTGCGAAAATTTTGGGGATCGCGAAGGGTTACGATACACCTACATGCCATTCTTTTTATTGCCAGGAGCTTCGGGACAATAAATCTCACAGGTGAGGCAGGGTGTAGGCGTATCGGCTTGATTCCGCAATAAGCGATTTAAAACACATGTTGTGACGTATTATATTTGTCCTATCGATGGATGATTAAGCAATCAGGTTCGAACATAGTTGAATATATGCATGTACACGCACACGCACACGCACACGCACGCGCGCACACACACACACACACACACACACACACACACACACACACACACACACACACACACACACACACACACACACACACACACACACACACACACACACACACACACACACACACACACACACACACACACACACACACACACACACACACACACACACACACACACACACACACATGTTTATACCAGTTCATACATTAATATATATGTATATGTACCTTTACGAGCAAACTCGGCTTCCGCTATGGCAAAAAGTAAAGTAACGTAAAGTAATATAAGGGAAGGGTGTCCTACTACTTGATCTCGGAATTAGTGAAATTTATGCCAAATTACCATTTGGTTTAACATTTACTTTAGTATTTGAAAGAAATTTATCAAGCGATAGGAGGCCCTTATCCCTACGCCGCTTTTTCCTCTAACGGAAGCCGAATCTGCTTGTCAGTGTACGTAAAAAACATGTATGTATATGTATATGTATGTGTATATGTATATGTATGTGTACACTATGTTAAAACATGTGAGAGGGGTATCCTATTTTCAACTGGAAATGGTGGAACATTAGTGGAAGGTCATAAATTAGTGAGATTCGAAGGAGCCAGAACAACGCAAGTTTCTGATTCGGGTTCGTTGGTAGCACGTTCATAAAGGGTTCACAGGTAGTCTACGACTCGCGATTCGCATTGACAGACACACGTATAATGAGCTTAAAAAATGCGTATAAAAACGTGGTAAGGTATGAAGATTCCTAGCAACTTTCCTAAGAACAATTCTTAGATGTATTTAATGGTCTACGAAATATTCGATCGTTTCCAGTAAAATCAGACACGGTATAAGTGTACGTGGAATAGCAGGAGCCCACGCATTCCGGCTCACTGTTTTTCGGTGGCTAGATCTTAGACCCACCCTTCTATTCTATACCTCGTCCGTAATGTAAAAGAACACGCGTTGATATATCTACATACATATGTACCGTGTGTGTGACAATTTATGTCTTTGAAAATTCGTATAATGTGGCGCTGTGGTAGAATCAGACACCCCAGAGCTTGTCGCTCATTTAACAGCACGTCATATGAATGATAACGTTCGGTCTATTTATCGCTTATTTTTTCATATGTATAACGAATAATGATGTATCGACATCGGTACAGCGTCAGTACCACGACCAGCAACAACACATTGTATCGGCGGCTGCTCCATAAACAGTGACAGTTTCACGCATGTTTCGCTCCTCTATGAACACGAGGAGTTTGAACAGTTCAGGTCGAGTTTGGTCTTGACGAGGAGGAGTGTCGATGAAATTGCTGATTGCCATATATATTACATATGTATAATAATGCGCGAATATGTCGATGCTAAGTTGATGCCGTTCGTGTGCTGCGCTGTTAAGCGAGCGACAGTCTTAAATCCTGAAATTCTGACGATTGCAGATTCATGCAATTTTCGACGACACAATGTTCCGGAGAAGTGTAAAAATGATAAAAAGTCGTTCGTTAACACCATTTGTTATTAGAGGGTATTTCATCTTCTCAATTTTCCGTTCACGCCAATAAGATTATTCTACATAAAAAATAATGGTGTAGTATGACAGTTACTTTTGCTAAGAAAAAAGTAATCGACACGAATTTGTATTTATGAAAAATTTATTTCAACATTGTAGAATGTCGAGCGGGGAAAAGAAGCAGACACATCTTAAATATGGAAGTCGTTTATTCTACTGTGTTAACAACGACGACGGACCGAATTCGCCTGGTGACAATCGGCTATTGCGTTTAGGGCGGCATCGGTCTTTAATCGACGGTGAAACTCAATATTCGTCGCAGCTGACGGCTCGACAAAGTTACGCGCCGACTCGCTCCTTGGCGACACCTGATCCGATCGCGATACGCGCGCGGTTCCTGCGACCGTCGGTCCGACGCGGAACGCGTAGATTCCTTAGAACACAGGCCTGTCCAACTTGTGACCCGCGGGCCAAAATCGATAATCGCCCCTACCGGCTTGCTCTTTCAGCCGAGGGGAATGACCCCCCTCCATATCCACAAGAAGCCCGACGCGATATAGAGGCAAGAAATCGTGTATACATGTTCTGACTGTCCCCACTTCTGACGCTCCAGAAATTCCTACCTGCACGTACCTCTTGCCCGCACGATCGCATCGCAGCGCAAGCGAGTAGTGGGGTATGGACTGAGTGATGGTGGGGACCGCGTCGTCTGGCGAAATGACCCGCGGGCCACATGTTGAACAGGCCTGCCTTAGAACATTAGTTCATTCAGTCCGTACTTGACAGACACTTGGAGTTTTGCGGTTTTTCTGGATGTACCTAAAATGATCAGATATTGCCTCTGGAAGGAATGTAAAGTTTTCGAATCAGGGTATCAACGTTCGACAAAGTATGTTTGCGCACTTACGCGAAGGAGATCCGAATTGCCATGTTCCTCAACCTGCATTGACAGGATTTTGAAATAGTATCGCGTAACGAGAATTGGCTTTGTACAGAAAGACATTAGGTGGTACATTGAGGTATGCCACTCCTCCAACTCCTCCTCCTCCTCCCCTTGTTAGTCGAGGAGAATATTTCGAAGCTGATTGTAGCCCCTAACATGTAAGCGATTATTATTTTTACACGTATATTCCAGAACGTTTTTTAATTGTCACACCTGGTATATATGTACATATGTGTCGTGGATAAAGTTACTACGAAACTACAACAAATGAATATTGTTTGTTTCATAGGCCGTGTAAGAATTGCTCATGTTCCGTACGCAAAATCTCTAGCCATAGAGAAAAAAAAGATGACGGAAAACGTCGGAACATCGAAAGACAGTAAAACAACGGAGAATTGCAAGACGGCCGCGCAAACGGCGAAGAGTGGGATACGCGTCGCTCATGTTCCACAAGCGGTAAGCAAGTATTTCAAGTTAAATTGTTGTAAATAAAGATACAAAGAGTATGGTTTTGCAGGTTCCTCAGCTAATACGACCGGAACCGTTACAAGTGACCACACAGAAGTTTCCGTTAAATGTTCGCCAGTATTACGTGAACATGATGCACGACGTGTGCGTGCAAATTTACACAAATGCAGAAGATGCGGGGCAACGCGCGGTTAAAGAAGAATACGCTTGTCACGAAAGATGCAAAGCGTTAGCCGTCTACAAAAACTCTTGCATGCTCGCCGCACATCGATTAAGAAAGGAGGTTGATCAGAGTGGTTCGTCGTTAGAAAATAGTGCGGGTACAACAACAGCGGCGGGCAGCAGTATGGTGTCTCATGAGGCCGTACTAACCGGCAAAGCAAAAGGTTCCTGGAGTGTGCTGAAAACGAAACGATCCGTTACGGAATTCAAAGGAACGAAACTGTATACTATGCTGAAAAAATGGTTACTGACTGAACAGCAACTTCGGGTTAACGGATTTCCTCGGCAACATCCGGATGGTCAGAAGGTAGGTAAATCTTTCATTGTACACGAGGTATGTATAATCCTATGGTGAATGAGTAAAATAGACAAGGTAGAAGAAGAACCAAGTAGTGAGTGCGAGAAAGAAAAAATATTGTTCCTTCGCTTTCACCGCGCTAACGACTGACTCACCGACCGTTGCAGGGACATGCGAAAATCTACGTCACGAATTCACGGAATCAGAGTGTCTTGTCCAAAGTGCCTAACGAAAGAATTTGCAGCCGATGCGGTCAGGCGTATGCGATAGACAAACAAGGATTTCCGTTGCGTCCACAAAACTGTATATACCATTGGGGTAGAAAATTCACTATCAGGGGTGAAGGAAAGTACAGTTGTTGTCAACAATATGGTTCTGCGACTGGTTGTTGCGACGCTAAAACGCACGTATGGGAATACACCGACTACGAGAACCTCCGTGGTTACGTGAAAACATTGCCGAAAGGTACGTTTTACCGTAGTGTGTTTCCCTTCGATTACTTACACTCCTACTTCGGTTGTTTTCCCTTCATTTATGCGCTTCTGTTTTATCTTTTCAAGACATATCCATCGAAGAACAAGGAGTTTACGCGCTCGATTGTGAAATGAGTTATACGACGCAAGGATTAGAACTGACCAGAGTAACGGTCATTGACGAAGATTGCACCGTGGTATACGAAACATTGGTTAAACCGCAAAATCCGGTAATCGATTATAACACGAGGTAAAAACCACCATGTACATATATTTCTTTCTCTTCCCCGTTTGTCGTCCGTCCGCTGTATCCGGGTTTCTCCTTCTATGTACCTACATATACATATATATATATACACACACACACACACACGCACACACACACACACACACACACAGGCTACAGGGTTCGGTTTACGAGACCGTGTGCTTTTATCGTCTGCATTATGTGTATACATACATATACACACGAGTAATGCTAACATTTTTTCCGATGGTAATTGCACAGATTTTCTGGAATCACCGAAGAAAGTATGAAGAACGTAACAACGTCGTTACTGGATGTTCAAGCGACGCTGCTTACTATGTTTTCGGCGAAAACGATATTAGTGGGTCACAGCCTCGAGAGCGATTTCAAAGCTCTGAGACTTCTGCACGACACTGTGGTCGACACGAGCGTAATGTTTCCGCACAAGAACGGATACCCGCAAAAGAGGGCTCTGAAGAATCTTTGTTCCGAATATCTGAGGAAAATTATTCAGAACGACGGTTAGTTAAAATTCGCCCATTTTCCATTATTTTATTTTATTATATATTGTCGGTACTCTCGTCGATATCGGTGTTGGTGATATTTCGCTAGCGAAAAGTTGCTACATATTGATTGATTTTAACGATATTACAGTCGGTGGACACGATAGCAAGGAAGATGCCGTTGCTTGTATGGAGTTGATCCTTTGGAAAATGAAAGAGGAAGCGAAATTACAGTGAACAAAGTTACGAGCAATCTATCAGACTGAATCGTCGTGTACAGCTTAGATTTTTACGTTTCGCTAAACCTAGACGCAGTGATCTTTCCCCGATTTCAGCATCCCATTTCGAAACTACAGATTCATCGTATGTACTGTATCATAGTTTTTCATGTATAAATATGTGATATGCGTGATATACCGTTGAATTAATTATAGAATCAGGTAACATTTAATCGCCGCGTTTGATTTCGAGTTGCATTAACAGTTTCTACGACGGTACACGTATGTAGTTTGTCGGTCGGTGAAAAATTCGTATCGAGTCCGCCGCCGCGCAATTCGTACTTTTGTAAAATTTCGTTATTGCCCGCGTCCTAGATTTCTGGATCGTTCGAATATAAACAGAAGGACGTAGCAGTACCTGCGTTGCGTGTGTTTTCTTTGAGTGTTTCGAAAATTTTACGAAATGTACATTTATTTTTGGAGATTAAACATCTCGCAATAAACGAAACCAAGTATTTTGTACGTTTTCAAGTACATATACATACATATGATTGAATTATGTTTTCGGTTGTAAACGTTTCTTACAGTCCTACTACGAACGAGAGCAGGAACGAAGCAGTAACGAAGCAGTAACGAACGCAGAGCTAGAGCAGAAAAAAGACATTTTCTTCTGTTTTCGTGGTAATTTTATTATACAAAACTACATCAATGTTTCATCGATTCGAATGTACGTCCATCCGCTGTTGACGCATTACCGATGTGAATCGTATCGTATCCTTTACTTTATCGTTTATAAATGTTTAACGGTTGTTCCATTTCACTCGTTCCACCGTAGCGCGATCACCCTTAAACTGTTGCATTTGGACGAGGGCAGGTAGGTACTAACTAGTATGCGAGCGAGCGAGCGAGCGAGCGAGCGAGCTTCTAGATATATCTCCTTGTCTCTTCTTCCTAGTCGTAAGTAGATATTACTTCTTTGTTTCTATTTAATTCACATGCTCCCTCGTTCGCTCGCACACACTCATTCACTCATTCGTTCAGCATTTAAAATACAGTAGTATTTCGCTACAAGCCCTCCTATCTATCGTCTGACTTGGTTACCAGTCCGGTATGGCCCGGTAATGTGCATGTGTCGTGACGTAGCTCTTATTGCGGGAGGTCCCCGACTGTGCGCAACCGGTCGTACCGATACGCAGCAATAACCAGGAAACTACACGAAATATTCTGCCATTAATGGGGAATGAAATTGACAGTAATCAACAGAATGTTGGTATTGTCAAAGAAAATGATGTTTAGACTTATTGTTGTTGGAAATATTTCGTTATAAAGTTGCAAGAAAATAATATAATATAATATAATATGTTCGCTAGTGGATAACGCACGTGTCTGCATTGGTCTGCATTGGCCTGACATTATTCTCCTTGTTAGCCGTCGATTGTCGCATTGTCGGCAATCTCGTTGGTTGTAAATCTAGAACCACCAATTATTTATTGGCACGTCTATTCTAACGAAATCTATCAGAATTGCAAACTCCACGATCGGTGCAAAATATTCTCCATTGATCTTTGTCCGAACAAGTAAATCTTGTGAGTTTGCGCTCCAGTTTAAAAGGGATCGTTTAAATCACGCGGTATGAAAAATACACTATTCGACCTCTTGAAACAAACATTATTGTCAAGATGTATTTATAACCTAATCTTTGGTATAGTTGTCTTATAATAGGACAAGTTCGCAGAGTGTCGTAGTACATTTATACTTACACCTGCCATAACTCTAACGCTAACGGAAACTTTTGTGGTGATGGATAATTGCGTGATTAGGATTTTCGTTGCGAGATACTGAATTACCGTTTATCTTCGGTGCGTCAATTCGATAACGGAAAAACAAAAAGTATTTTACATAGTAATGATCAACGAAGAAGAAGAAGAAGAATAAGAATAAGAATAAGAAATTGCGTTCACTGATCAATATTTTGAATTTGGATGTCAGACGAGTGCATGATACCATTAATGCACAGTACCATCGAACAGGTCGACAATTGTAGAAGAAATAAATTTATATTGTAGTTGATCAAGCTTATTTAGATAGAGGCGATCGCCATTAGCAGTCGATTCAACGATCACGATGATTCTAAAATAGAAGGAACAGCATAGTCGCCGCCGCGCATTTCTTAAAAATTATACGTAAATGTTATTCACCGTTTTCGCCGAAATGATTTTAAACGTATCATCGTTGAAACCCAGCGCAAGGAACAATTTTATTTACAGCAACATCGTTGGTTCTATCGATACTTTGATCGATGCGTTGAGAAAAAATACTGGATGACGTTTGTTTCGTCTCGAACGCTCGGTGTGTTCGCGCGGAATAACGAGACCGTATGCGTCTGTGAACGAATACGTCTTGCATACGCGCGCGCGCCCGTATGTATGTATGTATGTATGTATGTATGTATGAATATAGCTTGCACCGTGTTAGATCGATTGAGTCGGAATGGCAGAATACGTGCAGGCAGATATTAAGTGGACAGACACCGCAAGGAGAGCAGCATGAATTTGCGCATCCCTTCAAAGCATCAAAAAATACGTTGTCCGGACATTGGACAGCGGTCATCTAATTTTCATTATATACAAAGGCAACTGTTCAAAGACACGTATGTGTCATGATATTACGAATTATGTAGAACTATGCACACTTTGTTACGTTCGAATCTTATGCTCGATTTACCGATGGCGAACGAAACGTAGGAATCGAAAGGAAGAAGCTGCTACTCCGAACTTAATTGTTCCGTGTTTCTGCGATTTTGGAATAACATTTTCACAAGAATATGGATCGTCTATCACTTCGTGATAAACATTATCTAGGGCATCCTAATGTATGATTTTTCCTAAGTCGACCAAAAATAAGTAGGTTTGCGACTCGCGTCACGGCATTCGAAACGAAACGGGGAAACGATGATTGAACCGGGCCAAATCGAAGCATATCACCGAAGTATTGTAAAATAAACGCTAGAAAAGGAGAAGATTTATCTGGATAGGTTTCTTATTTCTAGAGTAGCGAGAGTTCGTTGCAACTCATGCTACGATACTGTACTTTGATGGTAGAGTTTAGTTTGGAGTCAGCCTTGACTCGATACACTCGTCTCGATGTTCCCAACGAATGCCGGTTTTGTTGATAGGACGCTAACGAAATACCAAACATTCTAATAACTACAAATTATCTCGAGAGACGAGGCAACTGTGATAGCGAGACAACGAGACCAATGATAAATTTCGAAGAATTTCACTGTTTCCGATTACGATACATGCCAAGACGGTGAGAAAAGGAAAGGAGATAAAGAGAGAAGGAAGCCGTTTCCATGGTGCGTTGATCTCGGTGTTGTTGTCGCGTCGATAAACATCACCTGATGTAGAGCTCGAGAAGATTTTCACGGAGCGATTGTTCGATCAGAATCTTGATCTCCAACCAGATAAAGAAACTGGAAAGCGATCGCTAGCAAACTAATGCCAAGTAGGTCCCCCATCGCCGTTAAATATGGGATCGCTGAATTGTCCGGATCGATTTTTCGTTTCCACATCCAATGTATCATTATGTAGGCGATGTAGAGAAGCGCGGCAACTTGCAACATCGCGGCGCATAAATAAACGAATACGAAGAGGGGCGTAAGCGAGGTATTGCCATCCTTCATGTAATTAATCAGATAAATGAAAATGATGTGTCCTGGTATGACCATCGCCATTAGAACCCTTGTAGTTCTCGCGTGTATACCTACGAAAGAAAGTAGCGATATTAGTTAGATGGTATTGTTAGGTTTTTGTAGAATCGAAGATCGGGGGGCGAGCTGTATTTTACCTTTGCCGAAAAAATTGGCGATAGGGGTGACGAAGATAACGGGATGCGTGTGACCCGGTGGTATCAGAAGAGTTCCCAATTCGGCTTGTTTATGAAGAGCTGTTGATATTCGACTTGCTTGGACAGCCACCAGATTTCCACCAACGCCATTGATCACCGGTTGAAAAACGGTCAAATTCGCGAATCGCCGCACCATAAATTCCAGTATCAGACCACCCCAACTGTCATATACCCAATCGGAATGATCGTTCGCTCATCCATCGTTTTATTAGATTTTTCTACTTGTTTCCATTTTCTCGGTACTCACCTGCTTATCAACATGGCAATCATAACAGGAGTCCATCCGGAATACAGGACATCGTTGGTGTATTTGTTTTTCTTGGCGATCCATACCCAGAGCGGTGTAACCAGAACGTAACAAGCGATCACCAGGGGCGCGAGCCAATCTTGTTTATTTATCGACTCGTAGAGAATCGTCGAGATCCAAGAGAGCAGAGCCAACGAGGTGATGTCGCCGAGACTCGCGGCTATCGGTGTTGCAACGTTGTCCGGATTGATGTGACAATGCCGCGAAAAGACAATCACTCCGGCGGTTATCAG